CCGCCTCCACAGCCGCCCCCGCCGCCCCCGCCGCAGCTGGAGCCACCGCCGCCGCCGCCGCTATAGAAGCCGCAGCCGCCGCCGCCGCCGCCGCCGCCGCCGCCGCCTCCGCCGCCTCCGCCAGAGGTCTTCCCGCATCCCACTGGGGGACAGGGTGTGGGCTGCTTTTTCTGGTGAGACATCTTTTCTAAGGTGAGGGGGAACCCTGGAAGAAGAGCAGAAGAGCATCACTGGACCAGCAGCAGGAGGATGCTGCGAAGGAGGCGGCTGTATCCATGGCAAAATCCTGCTCACTCCTAGCATCCTACCCAGACCGGTCTTCTGACCCTGCTCAGGTGCGGAAGAGTGCTTGGCTGGGATCACAAGGTTTTCAACAAGCTTTAAATAGCCCACCCAGTGGTGCCACCGTCTCTCTCTGCCTGTTTTCTGTTGTATGGTTTGGGGGAGGGGCCAGGTCACCCACACACCTGCCCTCTTCTCATCTTCCATAAAAGAACACTCAGGGCACTTCCAATCTCAGTACTGATTCTTTAAGTTAAAAGAGAAAATTGCAATAAATCTCTACCTGGGACTTTACCCATTTCCAGCACAAGGGGGTGGGCGCTATTTGGACATCACAGGACTGTTGTACTCATTCTCCGCAAAAGCCCTTAGTTTAAACTCAGTCTGTCCGCCAAGTGAGGATATGATCCAAGGACCCATTATTAGACAAGGCAGGCTCTACTGTGGTCCTATTTGCAAACGGGAGAAGGACCCTGGAGCAGCACATACGACCAGAAGGAAGCAGACACCTTTTTGATGATGTCCTTGGAATCTAAGCTTGGTAGAGAACTGCAGGTAGTAGAAAGTTTATCCCAGCACCTCACAAGTCACTCCCCAACAGAGGAACGTCTGCCTCTGTAAAGCAGGGCTTGGATTTATGTCTCCTCAAACCTTACCCATTAGCAACATTCTCTGACATCCCTCCTACTCTCTGTGAGTTCAGGCTCTCCTGACAGTTTCGCGGGATTCATGCAGCCCATGGCAGGCTGCCTTGAATAGCCAACGCAGAGTCAGTCCTCCTGTGTCTAGCACTCTCTGGACCCTGGGATGCCAGAGAGGTAGGCAATAGCTGTACCTTGGTGGAGTTTTAACATTCGGACAGAAGACCAGGAGCGTCACCCGCCCTGCCTCAGCTCACCCCTCATGCCTTTCCTGAACCGCCTGTCAACATGAGTGCAGTAGAGAAGACTGAGGTCCTGAAGCTTCCAAAGGGAAGGTGGGCCTTGCAAGCTGAGCAAGGCCAGCTGTGGAGACCAGACAGCCAGGAGAGCCCACACTTACCCGAAGCACCAGGGAGGGTGAGTGAGGAGAGGAGATGCTGGTGATGTGAGGAGCACTGGAGCTCCTGAGGTTTTATACTCTTTGCCTGCTCTGACTCATCTATTGATCAAGTACCTTCTCGTGTGTCTGGCCCCAGTTACGTGACCAATAACTTTTGGCCCCACCTACCGGTGATTGCAGCCACGGGGTGGCCCATTCATGAAGCTTTTGGCATTCTTGGGATAGGCAGTCCCAAGTGCATGACTGGCCCCTTCATTGATGCAACTGTGGGCAGGCTGGTCATTGGGGATGACCAGCTAGAGTGGATGGCACAAATTGTTTTCTAAACTTCTGGCATGGGTCACATGCCATAACCAGAGGACTGTACTTGAGGAATAGGTGCCAGACTCTTGAGGTAACTGCATCAAACTGGAGATCTCATTTCTAGTTCAAGGAGTAGTATCTCTTAATTCTGTTTGATTTCTGATCTCATTATTCTGGAAATCTTTAAAACTTCATAATCCATCCCTGTTCTGCCACAGTTTCTCCACTGGCGTTCATAAATTTCTTTGCTGGGGTGTTTATGCCCTGACTACTGGGTTATAAGGGTGCGTGAATCCCCAGCTCAAGTTCTGGATTGTACATCTTGGACAGTGCTGTAACTAATATGACTCTGGGGGCTACTTTTTAAAATAGAATTTTTGCAAATTTCATATATCTTGATAGTATTTAGATCCCTTCCCTTATCTGTGCTCCCTTACTATCTTCTGCCCAATTTCATGCACTCTAAAATACATATTAAGGCATATAGTCAAATTTGTGTACCAAAATGCACTTCGGTGTGTCATCCACTGGAGCCTGGTCAACCACCAAGAGTCTCACCTTTAAATGAAATTGATTCTTCCCCTCCCAACCTCGAGTGGCCATTGGTTGCTGACACTTCTTCAGTTAGGGTTGGGGTTTCTTACCCACTTTGAATTTTTTCTGGAGGTAGTAGATGATTTGATTGTCAATATTGACTATCGTCTTTGCTTTTTGCTGAGGTGGAAACTAACAAGATGATCCTTCCCATCATAGCCTTTTGTTTCTATTGTACCTTGGTGGTACATAGTGACCTTGAGAGGCAGCCATAGAATGGAATGGGTTTGAGTTGGTGACTGGGTTTGGGTCTTCTCTTTACTACTTGTCAGTTGTGTCACCTTAGGCAAAGGCACTGTGGTTGATGTAATGCCTGCACAGAGGAGGAACTTGGTATTTGTTGACTGCTGAGTGATCAAGCTTTCTGACCCTCAGTTACTTTGTGTACCAAACAGGAGTCCTAATACCTGTTTCATAGACACATGAAGAAGGAACAGTCATGTAAAAGTGTAGATGTGTTACGTAGATTGTGAGACTGACCTTTTGCCATTTTCTTATATGACAGCACATCCTTGCTTCCAACTTGTGACACTGTGGTCTGCTAGGAAGGCATGTGAAGTCAGCTCAACTCTTCTCCATGGGATTAACTTAACTTCCCTGATGACTCCAGGGCCAGCAGCATCACCTCTGTGTATGAAGAATAAAGTGCTCCCCCTTCTTTCATCATTGGAACTCAATTGTTATTAAGATACCACATTTGAACCTTGCCCCACCCAGCTGTGTTGAAATAACAATTCCAATAAGAAATTGCCTTAATTATGGTGGAGCTTTAATGATCCAAGTGATCCTGATTAGACTTTGGCTTTCAGAAACTTATGGCACTCCTCTCAGTTTGGACAGCCTGAACCCAGGTGAACCAAGGAGGAGTCTGGGTGTTCCTGTGCTTGGAGGATTCACTGAGGGAGAAGCCAGGATTTGTTGGAGAAGGCAGGTTTCTTAGCTTGAAGCTGAGGTGCCATGGAGGCTTGGGAGGGAAGTAGGCTGCTCTTCTGATAGTGATTACCATGTGTATAAAAAGGAGTCCTTTTAATTAATCAGGCCACATGGGAGCAAGTGTGAACCATGGCTTCTAGCATTGATCTGTGGACCACATTGGCCCATTACCATGTGCTCATCAGTCTGAAGGAACAGTCTAAGTAACAGGAGGTCAGTAGGGCATTTTTAGGGAGAGAAATTTTTAATTCAGCAAATCACGGCCTTCCTACCTCTTTTGTGTTTTAAGTAATGTTTCTTATAAAGTGATGGTGATCTGAGCTGCCCTTACGTATCAAAATAAGTATCATAGTTGTATAATGATTACCACATTTGTTTTAATTTTCTTAAAATTTATCATATATTAATTATACAAAGTAAGCAGTTTTATTATATTTCTGTAATACGTGTAATGTACTTTGATTGCATTTGTCCCCACTGTTATCCTTTCTGGCTTCCTTCTCATCTTTCCCCTCCACATCCTTAAGAGATCCCTTTTTATTTAAGGCCTTTTGTTTTCCTGCCATAGAGTCCATATATTAGAGAAACATGCAGTATTTATTTTTGTGAGACTAGGTTCTTTTGCTTAATGCAATGATCTCGTTTCAATTTTGCTGCAGTTGACATAGTTTTATTTTTCTTTATGGCCGAATAAAATTTCATTATGCATATTTGCACATCTTTGTCCACCCAACATCTAGGCTGATTCTGTAACTTCGCTGTTCTGAATAGCAATGAGTGAGCAGGGATATACAGGCAACTCTGTAATAAACTGACTTGATTCTTCTGGGTGTATCCCCAGAAGTGGTATAGCTGGATCACATAAAAGTTGTATTTTCAATATTGTGAGGATACTCTGATTTCTGCGGTGTCTGGGCATATACACAGTCTCATCAGCACTAATAGGAGTCTCCGGTCCCTTGAAATCTTACCAATGTTTGTTTGTTTGTGTCCTTGATGATCGCCATTCTGACTAGAGTACATGGAATCTTCATGTAACTTTGATTTGCATGTCCCTGTTGGCTAAAATGTTGAACGTTTTGGCTGGTCGGAAATGTCTGTGTGGGGTTGGAGAGATGACTCAGTGGTTAAGAGCACTTGTAACCCTTCAGAGTGCCTGAGTTCACTTCTCAGCAACCGGGTTGGGTGGCTCACAACTAACTTCATCTCCACATTTGCACACCCACATACACATAATTAAAAAGAAAAGTAAACCTTCTTTTAAAAAGTACCTGTTTTGTTCATTTGCCCATTTACTGATTAGATCATTTGTTCTTTTGGCATTGAATTTTTCTAATCCTTTATATATTCTGGATTCTAACCCTCCACTGAATGAATACCTGGGCAAAGATTTTTCTCTTATTCTGTAGGTCCCTTTGCTCTATTGATTGTTTACTTTTTACTTTGTGCTGCAGAACCTCTATAATTTGGTTCAATATAATTTACAATTTTTTTCAACTTTTTTTTTCTTGAGTGGTTGGAGTCTTTTTCAGAGAAATCATTGCCCATGCCTGTATCTTGAAGTGTTTTCCTTTAGTGGTTTCAAAAGTTTGGAATGTTAAGGATTTCAATCTAGTTCAAATAGAGGTAGAAATAGAGATGCAGTTTTAGTCTTTTACATATTACCACCATTTTGGAGGGAAATATTTTTTCTGTTTCTGTATGGAATTCTTAAATTTGGAAAACTCAAGTGCTAATAATTCAAAGAGCTAATAATCTTCAGATTGTCTAAAAATTAACTTGACTTTTTTTTTTTTTTTTCGCCTTTTTGAGACAGGGTCTCCCTGTAGCCCCAGCTGTCCTGGAACTCACTATGTGGACCAGGCTGGCCTTGAACTCACAGAGATCCACCTGCCTCTGCCTCCTGAGTGCTGGGATTAAAGGCGTGCTCTGCCACACTGGCTAAGTTGACTTTTTAATTGACACATGGTTGTTTATTTATGAGGTAGAGTGATATAGAGTGATAGTTTTTCCTACACTTTATTGTTTGACAATTTCACACATGTATGCAATGAATTTTAGTAATTTTCACATCTATCCCCTCCCTCCTCCCTTTCCCTCTTCGATGAGACCTCTCCTGCTTTCATTTCTTATTTATTTGTATGACTATTTTGCCTGCATGTATGTAAGTGCATCTGGGTGTGCAGTGCCTCTGGAGGTCAGAAGAGGGCGTCGGATCCTCTGGAACTGGAGTTACAGATGGTTGTTAGCTGCCTGTGGGTGCTGGGAACTGACCCCCAGTTCTCTGCAAGAGTAGCCAGTGCTCTTAAGTGCTGAACCATCTCTCCAGCCCCTTATGTATTTTTTTTGTGTGTATATTTTCCACTGTGCTTGATAATTTTTTTGAGTTTTAATATAATTTATTTATTTCACTATACCCAACTAGCAACATTATAACATAAATATATTTCTGAGACATTTTACATTCTTTTTCTCACACTAACTCTTTGAAACCAGTATATTTTATGCTAACAGCACGTATTAATTTGGACTAGCCTTATTTCAAGTGATGTCATTGCTGAGGCAGTCATAATCAACACCTTCTACTGCCAGCACCACAGATCTTTACAGGAATGGAAACATGTAAGATTGGATTGGCTCATGTAAGCAAATGCACTTGATACCATAAGCAATGATCATTCCAAATATAATGTTTTCTAGTGGCAACTGAATAAAACTAAGCCAAAAGTGTAATTTAAAAAAATCTAGCCATATCCTGAAGTGCCCTTAATTTTTTAAATTTCCTTTTTATTATTTATTTTAAAAATTATTCTTTGAGAATTTCATGCATATATACAATATATTTTGATTATACCCAACCCCCTCTTCCAATTTCTCCCAGAACCCCATCCCTTCTCAGCTTCATATCATGTTAAAAAAAAAAGAATCTACTAGTTAAAATTAGGCTTCCCATGCTTGAGTGGATGGTGCTGCACCCATGAATGTGATAATCAGGTACATGTTATACATTGTAAAATGATATGATCAACATAATCAACATTTTATTGTGCTGGAACCACTGAGCACTTCTTATTTTGAAGTATATAAGAAATTGTACATGACAGTCTCCCTATGGTGATGTAGAAATGGGAACTTACTCCTTCTGTTTAACTGTGTCTTGGGACCCATTATCCATCCTCCGCTTGCTCCCATTTCCTTCTTTACTGTATGTAGTAACTACTATTCTACTCTCTTTGAGACCGAACTGAAACCCTAATTCTGTGTTCATTGGTTCAACCAACATGGGTATACAGTGCCCTGTTAAACATCAGAGAAGACCCAGAAAACTTTTCAATGTTGTATATGGATCTCCTTGGTAAATTTTCTTTTGGGGGGGGTGACGGTGTTGTGCCTGCCTTTGCCACCCTATATAGCATTTAGTAAGGAACCCCTCCTTACTAAATGTATATCCACTTTGACAACAGGTAGATGATGGATGATGTGGTATTACAGCAGTACCCTATCTGCGGCCCTTAGCCCTGAACTAATCTTGCATGAGGAATGTATATTATAGAAGCCTATTTTTTATTCTCTGGGTCAAAATTTTCCTACTGGATTACCTGTATACATAACATCTGATTATCACCTTTAGCACAGTAGTAGGGAAATGATAGGCTTTTGTAGACTTAGGAAACATAGGTATTTGGAGTTTTGTAAGACATGGCATGATAAATTTTTAAGATTTATATCTTTTAGGCACTTAATCCTGAAATGCATGCTTGCTAGCGCATATGATTTGTATAGCATGACAGATTAGGTCACGATCCCTGCTCCTGCAGAGGGGCAGATCCTTAAAGCAAATGGTTCAATGTGCCGGTGAGGTTCTTAGTATTAACTGGTATTCAGTATGTCTCACTGGAATTGAGGGAACTCTTAAGAGTTCCAGGGGGCTGGAGAGATGACTCAGCAGTCGAGAGCACTGACTGCTCTTTCAGAGGACCTGGGTTCTATCCCAGCACCCACCTGGTGGCTGACAACCCTCCGTAACTCCAGTTCCAGGGGATCAGATACCCTCTTCTGACCTCTATGGGTATTGCATGACTCTGGGGCACTTACATGCATGTAGGCAATACACTCATACACATAAAATAAAAATAATAAGTAAAATACTTTAAAGAGTTTCAGATGATTAAGAGTGACAGGGTTCAGTTCAGAGTGTTAAGGGCTCATTTATAACCACAGATATGATCTTTGGAGAAATTTCACCCTCTGATTCACAAATCACAAAATGTTGGAGACATTTGCTTGCTTCTCAGCTCAGCTTATTTCTGCAAGGGGCTCATAACTTCCTCTACAGGCATCTTCTTCAGAGCAAGGGAGAAGGATGGAGAGAACAGTGTAAGACTGTTCACTACTATGATGTATGGTCAGGTGGTTTTTACAAGATCTGTTGGGAGAGATGTAGGAAAGGAGGAAACTGGAATCACCCTAAGAAGGATGCTTCTCTGGTGGGAGGCACATTCTTTTTTATATTTTATTATTTTTATTTTATGGATATGAGTGTATTGCTTGCATGTAGGTAGGTGCACCCGTGTTGTGCAATGCCTGTGGAGGTCAGAAGAGGGTGTCGGATCCCCTGGAACTAGAGTTAAGGATGGTTTATAGCTGCCATGTGGCTCCTGGGAAACAAAACTGGGTTCTCTGGGAGAGCAGTTAGTGCTTGTAAACGCTGAGCCATCTCTCCAGCCCTGGAGGCACATTCTTTAGGTCCCCAGATTGAGGCAAGATTATAGCTCTTGAGTCTGGGAAACTCCAGCTAATATGTGGTTATCACAGCTTTTAAGGATACAGAGCTACACATCTGTGTCCTCAAGACTGAGTGCTACCTTCTTCCCTAACCGAAGTGAAAACCACACAGGTGGTTCTTGAAGAGTAAAATGCATAGCAGACAGGAGCTTCCAAGTTCAGCATGGCAAGAGCAGAGATTTGGAGAGTTGTTTTGACAGTTTTCAGTTCTGACATAGGATGTGTCTCAGGGGCTGTCATTCCCTTCGTTCTCTTCCTTTTTCCTGGCTGGCAGTTTCATGGGGTAGTTGCCCTGAGTATTAAGTGAAGAAAACGGCTTCGTGGTCTGAGAGATCAGCTGAGTGGCAGAATTCCCTCTCCAGGAAGCTTCCTTGAACTCATCCCATCCACTGATTCAGTCTCCCTCATTACTTTCCCTTTCTGAGGCCTTGGGGAACAGTTGTGCTACAGTTATTATGGGTTAGATATCTTGCACATGACACATCCATTAGACTAGTCTTTCTTTTTGAGTTACAGCTGTGGTTGAGGAAGGCTCCCTGTTATTTCTTTATTCTGCATCTAAGGTTCCCCACGTACCGAGTCTTTATCAGGACATGGGCTCAGGTCGGCCCTCTTTGGGTATTCCTGGAGCTCATTTGCCAGTGGTGAGGACTACAGCCAAATTGTTCAAATGATCCCCAAGAACCCAAAGATGCATACAGGGTGAGCAGTACAGCTAGGGATAGTGCTCACCTGGGCTGGACACCTTATGCGACTAGATTCTTAGGCCTATCTACTGCTGCCACTGCTTGATTTTTCTCAACAGTCCTGTGTATTCAGCCCTACATCGTCCTTATTTCTGGATGATAAGGTGCCTGTGGAGGCTGATGGATTTGCCCAGATTTCCACATCCTTTAAATACCAAAGGCAGAATTAGGGCAGGTGAAATTGCTCAGTGGGTAAAGGAACCTGAGTTTGTTCCTCTGGCCACTACAGGTATGCCATGGCATGCGCATGTGCACACACACATAATCAATCAATAAATAAGTAATAAATGACTAAATGAATGTTTTACACAGCCAGAATCAGACTCACCCTTTTCATTCTTAATCTCTCGTTTTTTTTTTTTTCCAAGTGTGATGTAGGTTTCTTCTTTGGAAAAGTGGGAAGGAGAGGATGCCTCCTCAGCCAGGAGATATCCATGCCCTTGGGGAGGCTGGGAGGAGAGGAAATGTTCATGAATGCTTCCAGATCTTCTGGGGGCAATTTTATCCACAGATGGACTGTAGGTGCTGGAAGGGCATGTGGAGATTTTCTAATCATCCTTCTCAGTTGTAGAGATAGATGCAGAAAGAGGCTAAACCACTCCTCCAGGCTACGTATCAAAACAAAGACCAGACACTGGGTTCTTGGGCATGTCTCTCAGTGCATCTGTCTTTATAGATTTGAGTTG